GCAGAGCTGGTGTTCGACGACGAGGAGTTCCAGACGCGCGAGGAAGCACAGTACCGGCAGAAGGTTGGCTCGCTGCAGTTCGCGGCCACCACGACGAGGCCCGACATTGCCTTCGCTTGCAGCAAGCTCGGATCCGGCCTGACAATGCGTAGCGACAACCACTGGCGTGAGGTTGATCGCTGTCTGCACTACCTCGTTGAAACCCGTGATGCCGCTCTAGAGTTTGGCGGCGGACCAGAGTCGCTTTGTCTGGTCGGCTATGCAGATGCAGACGACGCTGGCGACAAGCAGAATCGGACGAGCACGGGCGGCTACGATTTCGTCTTCGGAGGAGCCGCAGTCTCCTGGGCGAGCCAGCGCATCAAAGGCGCGACGCTCTCGTTGACCGAATCAGAGTACGTTGCGGCCACTGAAGCTGGTATGGAGGCTCGCCGCCTGCACTTCCTCCTTGCAGAATTCCGCCTGCTCGACGCAAGGAAGCCGACTGTTCTACACGTGGACAACCAGTTGGCGATCATTGTCGTAGAGGGCTTAGGGCTCAAGGGCAACCTCAAGCACATGGAACGACGCTACGTCTGGCTGCAGCCGATAGTTAAGCGCGGGAAGATTGCTCTGTAGTACATCCCGACCTCCGAGCAGCCGGCGGACTTTCTGACCAAGGCGCTGCATTTTCCGGCTTTCAACTGGTGCTCCGTCGCAATCGGCAAGTGCGTCTGGCCGATGTGGGCGACGGGGATGATGAGGTGCACCACTCGGTGCCGTGCCTTTCTGCACGGCTGGTGCGGTGACATGCGTGCTATGTGTTGGGTGCACGCAGACGGACTTTCTCCTTGTATTCTATCCCTCTGGGTTTTGGGTGGACCTTGTGTATGGGTGCCCAAGCGTGAGCTGGGCAGGGGAGTTTCGAAGAGAAAGGCCCCGCCCTCGCTTGGGCGCAGCCGATCTCGCTGTCGACGAGAAGTTCGCGACGGATTGGTCGACGAAGTAGGCTTCTGCAGTTCGACGGAAGTTGCGGTCGAGCAGGCTCTGCTCGAAAGAATCTGGTCGACGAGCTTTGGTCGACGATCTCTGCGCGACGAGCTCCCGTCGAAGAGCGCTGGTCGACGATCCTGGTCGAGGAACTTTGGTCGAAGAGTTCGGGTCAAGGAGCTCTGCTCAGCGAAATGAGCGATGACGAGCTGATCGACCGAGCGATGACGAGCTGGTCGATCGAAGTTGCAGAGCTGTGCGAAACTCTGCGGAGGCGTGCGAACTTTCGCCCAGGAGGTTTTGGCAAAGTTCTACCTGCGAAACGGCATCACGTGGTCAACGGTGCGCACCTGGCAAAACCGATGACACGTTTTCTACCTGGCACCTGCACAATGTGCCTGACGGTGAAACCGCCAACCTGCACCTACTTGGTAGGTGCGCACATCTGCGCAGATAGACAACCTGCGACTGCAATTAGTTACCTGCGACTGCAGATAGTCACCTGCGACCGCAGTGCTGGCAGACCGCGCGCAGAGCAACGCTGGCAAGTTACTCTGCTGCAGCGTTGGCAAGCCGCTCTTCTGCTGCGCTGGCAGATTTCGCCCTTGCTAGGTGTTACATGCCCTTCTAGTCCTTTCGTTATGCATGCCTCAATTGTACTATCAACTTTTCAATGTTCTTTTAAACTTCCTTAGTGGAAACTCTTGCAAAACTTCTCGGTGAACACAAAAAGCAATAAGAACGCTACTAGAGCGCTACGATCACTCGCACAACCCCATGCCCTCCTCCGTAGTCCACTCCCGTTGTGTAGTGACTCTCCGCATGATGGAGTGAGTGTAGCGGAGAACAAGAGTCCTGCTCATATCTGTACGCACAGCGTTCGTTCCAAATAGTCTTGGCTACAGCTCCTACCAGCAGGCTCCATGGCACGACTTGTCCGGCAAGGGTAGCTAGGGGGAAGAGCACGTGTTCGGTAGAAACGCGCACCCCAAGATGCACGAAAGCGACCTGCTGGAGAGCCCCCAAGATAACGGTGGAATTTCCACAATCCGAGAAGATATGTGTGAGTGATTCTGTAGGGCCTGACGAGCACCGGCAGCACACTCCCTTGTTAGGAGCAAACTGGAAGCGAGCACCAGATGGTAGCAACCGAGTGAAGAGGCGGTATAGGAGGTCACGTTGACGGCTCGGCTGTTCCTAGAGGGAACGGGTGGAGGAGGCTAGGGAGGACCGAGACTGGGGTGGTGAGAACATCATTCCAACGATCGAGGTGAGTGGTGGGGCGTTTCGTGTAAAGCAAGGTACGTATTGAGGCGAGCAAGGAGATGCCATCTTGAATGAGGGAGATACGAATGCCGAGTCCTGCACCAGAGCAAAAAGGTCCGGCGATCCAACGACCCCGTATGAGGATAGGGATGACGGCTGACTTGGGAAGTACAATCAGGTCAAGCGACGTAGATCCAATTTTGCGTACGCCATGAACAAGGTATGTACGGAAGCACACCATATCATGCGAAAGGCGAGAAGAAACCTCGAGGACGATAGGCGGCGCATCCGGGGTCGGCTTGGCCAAGACAACCCAATCGCCACGATGCAAGTACCCCGGGCGAGGAGAGAACGTGGTGATTGTGCTCAACCAATTGTCCGGAATGGCCTTAAAGATGTCTTGGAAAATCCGTCGACCACTCGGGAATTTCTTCGGTGGATATTTCAATTTGAATTTGGAAGAGGTGAGAGGGCGGGTGCCATGTGTCGTAGGAGCGAGCAGGTGCCCAATTCGTAGTTGTTGAGTCAGCAAGAAGCGCTCGTTGGGTTTACGACCAAAGCTCGAACCGTCGGCCTTGCAGATAAAGCGATTGAACGCTAAGGGTTCGGCCAGTAGGACCCAGGGTTCCAAACGTGGAGGGGCGATTTTCATTGTGGAGCCCAAAAGGCTTACAAGTTCCGCCCGGGCGCGTAGTGGGGTACAGGACGGGAGGACATTCAGGATATCAGGGTGGAGCAGAAAGCAATGCAGACCGTATGGAAGAGGGACACATGTCAGTGCGACGTCCTCATATGGGGTCGGCAAAAAACGCCGCAGCGCGCGTTGTATATTTAGCGCTCGAAGTTGTATAGATGGTTCAATCGCGCCAAGACCACCGTCTTTTTTAGTATCAAACAGGAGCCGTTTGGGGATGAGGCAAACAGTTCGACCCGAGTCCGTGTACTTGGAGGAGGAGAGAATGTTTCTTACAATTGTCTCCAACTGCTGTACCACCAAAACCGGGGCGGGTTGAAAGCGACCGCTGAAGGAGAAGAGGGAGTTAAGCCTCTCAGTAGCGAGAAATTACGACAAGTCGCTGTTGCTTTGAATTTGGATAGCGCATTAGCCGTCGTACGGGCGCGTGCGGTAACATGTTCCCACGTTGCTGATCCCGGGGAGTCTTGCTGGATAAATACTCCAAGAATTCTTTCGGCTTCATCTAGCTGGCGAATAGGGATGTCACCGGAGTCAGCAATGAGATCAGGTTGGAGATGGATGGGAAGGATGGAGCACTTCACCCAGAGATTAGAGCGAAGGAGCGCAGACGTTATTTTGCAAGTCGAAGTTCCATGTTGGAATTGAGAAAGATGGAGATGTCATCGGCGTAGCATGCTGCCGGTCGCCTTTGTGTACGTGAGAGCAAAAAGCCGGGCAATAAGGCTAAGAGGTGACGGTGTAAAACCTCAATAACACAAATGTAGAGCAAGGGGGCCAGTGGGCAGCCCTGTCGCTCCCTGGAGACCACGGGGAATAGAGGTCCACAGAAATTATTTACTGATATTTGCGTTTGAGTGTGTGAGTGTAGGAGCTTAACCCAACGGATAAAAACATCGGGGAGACCAATGTGCGAGAGGCATCAGTACATGAAGTGCCGGTCGACCAGATTGTATGCCTTGCGGATGTCAACAGTGAGAACAAGGAGGGGGAGAGACTGGGTGGTTGCCCAATCGATCACATCGAGTGTGTCATTGATGGTGTCTCCTATTCGACAACATGGTGTGCGACAGTGCTGGTCGACCGACACTTCATGCTTGGCTGAATAGTACCGAGTAGTACCGAATAGGAGTGTCGCATAGGAGAGTCGCGACAATGCCACTTCATTGATAGTACCGAATAGGAGTGTCGCACGCCATAGTACTGACATCTGATCGACCGACACTTCATGTACCGATGCCTCTTGCACATTGGTCTCACGCGGAGTTGGAGGGGGCAAATGCTGTGCTCGAGGATTTCATGACGCGGACCTGGCCCTCATCGTCAACTCTTCCAGACGCTGCGCGACGAGCTGGAACGGACAAGTGGAGGCCACGTAGGCGTTTCATACACGTGTAGATAGGCAATTTAAGCTTTACCAATCACGGAGTGTCATTTTCCGGCGCGGTCTGCTTGTTGTTGACAGCGCTGCAGGCCCTCGGGCACATGTAGATTGTTCGTAACTTCTGAGCCAATGGCGGAGCTCTATGACACTCTGGAAGCCCATGAAGCGGATTCCTTTCTCCTCGCTGAAAGTGTTTTCGATGTTGGATTTAGGACGGGAGTGTGGTTATAACTACAAATATACGGACTCAACAGGCTACTGGTTGTAATGCAGTCGCTAATACCATTTCAGCGAATATGTCCTTGTAGGACTCGTAATTGATCTTCAAAGGTAATGCATTTCTTGTTGTTACCAAGAGAATGTCATGCCTTGGTGTCTCACTTCATAATCTGCTGGGCTTCCAGCAAGTAACTCCACCCTTCCACCTTTCCACATCCGGCAAATCTGTCGCATGCCATAGAGACGAAATTTCCAGTTAATGCCAATATGACTCTTTGACGGCCTTCTCTTTAATTGGTGTTGTGTGGAAGTTGTAATGAAGAAACGATGTCAAACCAATGAATCACAAGTTCAAAAGACAACGCCAAACCCCATTATGTATAATGGCTCATGCGGAACCCAACGCATACCTTGAATGGCATGCCCCAGAACTTTGGAAAGGACCTTATCCACAAAAAATCAAGGCTCATGAGCAGAACGAGCAGTGCGGATAGGCCTGGTGCCGCTGCTAGAAAGCACCTTGGAGAGATGGCAGTTCTCCCCATCGCCACACCCCCTACCCACAAAACGTTGACACAAGGTAACGTCAATGAAAAAATAGCCGGAAGACAGTCAAGAAAACGGGGAGAGTGTGAAAGACTGAGGGGAGGAGGATGAGGATGAAGAGGAGGAGGAGGAGGAGGAGGAGGAGGAGGAGGAGGAGGAGGAGGAGGAGGAGGAGGAGGAGGAGGAGGAGGAGGAGGAGGAGGAGGAGGAGGAGTAGGAAGAGGAGAGAGAAGAAAGGAAGCACAGAAAGGCCAACCCAGCTGGGTGAAAAACGAGCCAGTGACACAATCGCAGTCACCACCCACAAGTCAACAAACTTTAGACATCAATCGCTCTCGGAGCCTCATATTAGCAGCTGCAGGCAGGCTACTGCTGGATCACCATCACGCGTCTCACCAGTTGAGGCCCGAGTCAAAGTTGCCTGTGACCATCATGGACTCCTCCGCGCCCCCGCCCATGTGGACTCCTCTGGCGGGCTCTCCTGTGACGTACGACTCGATGAGCCCCAGGATTGGCATGGAAACCATAGCCAGCGCAATGGTTATTCCCGTGGTGCGCACATGGGCAGACATGGGAGAAAATTGAACATGCCATGGGCAAGGGCACCAGCATGTGAGCAGGGTGCAAGAGGCTGTAGTCAGTTGAAACTCAGAGGCGTGATGTGAAGGAGAACCGTGATGGGTTTTAACTACAGCCTGCGTGTTCGCGTCCCTTAAGGGGCTGGTCGTTGCAACCGTAGGCAGTCAGTGGCTATCTCTATGGCCGTATAAATACACCCCCCCCCCTCGTCTATCTCACAGCCTTACACAATGGCTTCCAGTCAGAAACCGGATCTGGTGATGAGCAACCTCCATGCAACCCCCCCGTTTGGTGACGCTTCCCTTACAACGGATATCCCCGCCATCCTGTCCGGCGCTGCGGTCCCCTTGATGGACACGAATGCCCCTCCCTCCAAGAAGCTTTGCGGTGCTGGCCCCTCTGCCGCCAACCCCGCCGCTGATGTGAACCTCGAACAAGTGTCTAGTGAGGCTAATCCTGCGCACTCCGAGGCGCCTGTTGGCCGTTTCATGCACCTCCGTCGCAACCCGGACTCAATCGGCGAAACCGTTGTTTCAATGGACCGGGATCTCCTCACACTCGTGACTGTCATCTTCCCTGAGTCCCTCGCTGATGACCATCGCTACAAAATAGTGGCACGGGTGAAGGCTACCCTTCGCAACAACCAGTATAATTCCGGCAAGGTCCCTAACTTTGAATCGCTGGCTGGAGAAAATCTCAGTTTTCCCCGCAATACCTATGCCCGCCACGTGATTCAGAGGCCGACGCGTGACGACGCTCGCTGCTTCCGCAAAGCTCTCCCCATCGCCTACCGCCTGCAGGACAGCTCATACATTGACATTAAGCTGTATGTTGACCCCGAACCTTAGTTTACTGCCGCAAAAGCCAACGTTGAAACTCATCTCCTACTACGCAATATCCCGATTGGTTACTCTCTGGATGTTGTCAAGAAAATGCTCCTCTCCCAGCGCAACAAGGCTAGTCGCAAGTGGCTGCGCGACGTTAAGTTGTTGCACAAGATCCTTGATCCGTATGATAGGACTACCCATGGCTGAGGATGACGGTCGCTTGTTTGAACAAATCTCTGTTGCGTTTAACTGGTTCCCAGGTATCCTGGAGCCCATGCTCTTGAACCTCTCCTGCCACTGCTGTGCGGTTTGCAACAGCAACCACCGCACCTCCGACCATTCCAGTTTTGCGGTGATGCGCAAGTCACGCATCGACAACCCTTTCCAAATCACAGTGGCTCTACTTCAATCCGTTAACGGTGAAGTGCCCTCATCCTCTCAACCTTGTTTGACCTTCTTCCACGTTTTCCTTGTTTTGGTTGGTCATCCTTTTGTCCAATTGGCTGTTTGGTTCCACCGTAAGCCATGGTCTGTCTTTATAAAGTTCAAACCACATGTATCACTTTCCTTGCCTTCATACCCATCCTCACCCACATGGCAGGGGCCCCCGCCTTTAGCCTCCCTCTCTCACTGGTTCCTATGTTCCTATACTACCCTGCTTCCCTTGGTCTGGAAAATTTTCAGGAAAGATATTCGGACATGGCACAGTGCCGTCTGCCTTCAAAACCGACCCCGGGCTGCTCAACATTGGCATCGACATAGAAGTCGAAGTTTGGACCTGCGCTGCCTGCAGTTATGTTTGTGGCTGGGCGCTGGACAGCGCTGTCTGCCACATGCAAGACTCATCCCACATTGACAACATCCGTGTTTTCTCCAATGCCCCTACGCCTATCGACGAATTGGGTGGCACCAAAGTCAAAGCGCTGCTGCAGCAGGAGAGCATTGATTTCTTCTTGTCCCAAGAGTAGTAGGACAATGACCATGCATGCCTAATCACTACGGCACCTTCGGCCTTGCTCCTTATGTGCCAGCTTCCCTTTATGCAGCCCTTGCAATGTTTCCACACCTCTTGTTTAACGTCGCTGCCAATTATTCTTATTACCACCAACCCATGTTCCTTTCTTGCCCAATGGATGGGTGTGCACGAGCACACCGGGGTACCACAGTATTCTATGTTGAACCACATTAAAGTTTTATGCCTGAATATCAATGGCCTGAACGCCACGAAAAAAATGGACAATTTAAGAGCTTGGCTGCATAATTTATTGGATATCCTCAATTTGATCGACACCCGTCTCACTAGCAACTTCAAGAAGCTCGTTAATAAACTCAGACCCATCGCATATGCTCAAGCATCCCTCGAGTGTCTTTGAATCGTGAATCACCTGGGGGTATCGCAATTTTAACCTTCAACCGACGTATCTCTCTCATTGATCGCTTTGCTTCACACGATGGGCGCATGTTGAAAGTTTTGTAAACTATCTACAATATTAATTCCGGCTGATCGCCATCTATGCTCCCTCCTACTCTATCTTCAGCGGCATGCTTGGTGGGACTCCACAGTCACTCCCACTCTCATAGACACCTCTCCCGGAGAAGGTACCATCCTAGTGGGCGACTTCTCCTCACCCCAAGATCGTAATTTTTTACGGGCACATGAGCGAACCGAAATGGGACGCATCAATGCTCTACTTGACACCCTCGTGCTCACTGACGCATTTCGTGTCCTACACCCGAACAAAACCGTGTTCTCATTCCGATCCGTTACACACGTGTCCCCGGCGAGGGTCTCAGCCCCGGCCTCTCGCCTTGATAGAATTTACGTGTCCCAATCCTGGGCCCCACGCCTCTCGGCTGCTGAATACCCCCAGGTCCCACACGTCCTCTCGGACCACTGTCGCAGCTCCTGCTGCTCCCTCTCATTCGTCAATCCTAACTGCGCCCCGGGACCATGGCGGCTCCCCTCCTCCGGCATTGCCACCTCAGAGCTGCACGAAATGGTCAATCACGGCTCAGCTTTCTTTGAACAATGTGCGCCTGCACAATGTGGTTGAACGCGCCTGCACAATATGATGGCCGGAAATGATGGCCTCCCTGGCGATCTGTACCGAGCCCACAAATCCCACCTCGCCCCCATTCTGCTACAACTTTTCCACTCCATATGGAGTCAAGGCTCTCTTCCAACATCTATGCTTCGTGGGCGCACAATCCTAATTCCCAAAAAAAGGGACGCTTCGCTCCTGGAGAACCTCCGACCCATCACTCTCATGAACTCGGACTACAAGGTCCTTGCTATTTGTCTCGCCAGCCGTCTACAGCGTGTCCTAAGCCGTCTCATTCACCCAGCACTGTCAGCCTTCATCAAAGGGGGTCGGTCAGCAGGCCATGAAGCGACGGCGACAGACTGGGTTACATCAACGGGTTTGGATAGCTGCCGCGTCTCTCTCGATGATTTGTTTCCCTGCTGGAAATAACGTGGCGCCTTGATACCACTGATGATCCATGTGCTGAACAGAATAAGAAGTACACCGCTTCAAATACAAACCATAAGAGCTTATAGTGTTATGGTTAATAATCTACAGGTGGAGTATATGGTACTCCGCTAATGCATAGCTCCACCTCAGGTCGACGGCTATGAAAGCAATGAATAGCCCACTCGGTCAACCTTGCCCTGGCGATATCAACAAATCTCAGCGCAGGGGCAGCCAACAGGTGGTCGAAAATATCATCCGAGATTTTAGGGCAGCTCTGCATGCTCAAGTAGCGCAAACGAGCAGCTGCATACTCCCCGGGCAGACGAAAAACCTCTTCGCCACTTGCACCCGGACCTGACCCGTGGACTTGATTCTGCTCCGGCCGAACCTGCTGGGCCCAGGCTGGGCGGCAAAGAGCCCTGACGCAGGGATTGGACAGCTGACGGCAGCCGTCCAATCGAATCTTGATGAGGTGGCGGCATCTGTTGGCAATGGATATGATTCCGGCATCTGAGACATGATCGCAGAAGCTGAGGGAGAGATAGCGCAGCGAGAGGCAGGAGGTGGCAAGAGCTTTCAAACCCTGGAGGGAGGTAGGAGGGTGGGGGAGATGGGGTGGGCAGAAATCAGTAAAGCAAGGGTTAGGAGAGGAGGGAGAGAAACGTGAAAATGACAGAGTTAGCTTTTGAGGCGCCTCAGAGTTTGGGAGCAGTTAGCTGCTTCTGAGCAGCCTGCTATGTGGGATTGTGTGGTACGGAGTCTGCTGTTACAGCCTGCCTCTGAGCAGTAGTAAGCCAATCCTACCTTGCAATCCTCTCACGCCTGTGCCATTTAACCGCTCATGACTTTTGATTCGACTCAAAAGTCACCTCTGCTTTTGAGCAGTAAGCCAGCCCTACCTTGCAATCCTCTCACAACTGTGCCATTCACCCACTCGTGAAGAACCTCCTCCCTTGCCCCCTCTGACAACCCTCTGTGTCTTCCCACCTCATTGGTGAGTCTGGGGCAGCCATGCAGTGCCAGCTCCTCCAGACCGTGACAGTGTGAGGAGAGTGACAGTAACGAGATGTCTGGTAGTGGGCTTTGGTTCAGCACCTGATGGGACGAGGAGGAGGTGAGAAGAGGCAACAGAAAGTGACAACAGAGAGTGAAAAAAAAGAGTGACAACGGAGAGTGACAATGGCGAGTGGCAACAGAGATTGACAATGGCGGGCTCTGGTTGAGCACCTGATGAGATAAAGGAGAAGTGAAGAGAGGTACTAGAGAGTGACATCAGAAAGGGGTAGGGCAGGAAGCGAGGGCATGAGGAGGAAGCAGGTGGAGACAGGAGGGGGAAACAATCAGAGAAATATGTAGGAAGACGAATTCAGTAAGTATAGAGCAGAGGAATTTTAGCGCGGGAAAAAAAGAAAAAACCCGTTCACAAAAAATAAAACGTTCTCTCACCAGAGTTTTAAGAGCCGTGGCTCCTTGAAACAGGAGCGGAGCAGAGACGTCTGTTACCCCCGGCACCAGAGCAGCATTGAGTGATTGCAACCGGGAGCAGCGGGCCAATGCGCTGACGCCTGGCTCAAGCAACTGCCGGAACAAGAAGAGTGTAGGTAAAATGAGGAACAAGAAGAGTGTAGGTGAAATGAGGAACAAGAAGAGTGTAGGTGAAATGAGGAACAAGAAGAGTGTAGGTGAAATGAGGAACAAGAAGAGTGTAGGTGAAATGAGGAACAAGAAGAGTGTAGGTGAAATGAGGAACAAGAAGAGTGTAGGTGAAATGAGGAACAAGAAGAGTGTAGGTGAAATGAGGAACAAGAAGAGTGTAGGTGAAATGAGGAACAAGAAGAGTGTAGGTGAAATGAGGAACAAGAAGAGTGTAGGTGAAATGAGGAACAAGAAGAGTGTAGGTGAAATGAGGAACAAGAAGAGTGTAGGTGAAATGAGGAACAAGAAGAGTGTAGGTGAAATGAGGAACAAGAAGAGTGTAGGTGAAATGAGGAACAAGAAGAGTGTAGGTGAAATGAGGAACAAGAAGAGTGTAGGTGAAATGAGGAACAAGAAGAGTGTAGGTGAAATGAGGAACAAGAAGAGTGTAGGTGAAATGAGGAACAAGAAGAGTGTAGGTGAAATGAGGAACAAGAAGAGTGTAGGTGAAATGAGGAACAAGAAGAGTGTAGGTGAAATGAGGAACAAGAAGAGTGTAGGTGAAATGAGGAACAAGAAGAGTGTAGGTGAAATGAGGAACAAGAAGAGTGTAGGTGAAATGAGGAACAAGAAGAGTGTAGGTGAAATGAGGAACAAGAAGAGTGTAGGTGAAATGAGGAACAAGAAGAGTGTAGGTGAAATGAGGAACAAGAAGAGTGTAGGTGAAATGAGGAACAAGAAGAGTGTAGGTGAAATGAGGAACAAGAAGAGTGTAGGTGAAATGAGGAACAAGAAGAGTGTAGGTGAAATGAGGAACAAGAAGAGTGTAGGTGAAATGAGGAACAAGAAGAGTGTAGGTGAAATGAGGAACAAGAAGAGTGTAGGTGAAATGAGGAACAAGAAGAGTGTAGGTGAAATGAGGAACAAGAAGAGTGTAGGTGAAATGAGGAACAAGAAGAGTGTAGGTGAAATGAGGAACAAGAAGAGTGTAGGTGAAATGAGGAACAAGAAGAGTGTAGGTGAAATGAGGAACAAGAAGAGTGTAGGTGAAATGAGGAACAAGAAGAGTGTAGGTGAAATGAGGAACAAGAAGAGTGTAGGTGAAATGAGGAACAAGAAGAGTGTAGGTGAAATGAGGAACAAGAAGAGTGTAGGTGAAATGAGGAACAAGAAGAGTGTAGGTGAAATGAGGAACAAGAAGAGTGTAGGTGAAATGAGGAACAAGAAGAGTGTAGGTGAAATGAGGAACAAGAAGAGTGTAGGTGAAATGAGGAACAAGAAGAGTGTAGGTGAAATGAGGAACAAGAAGAGTGTAGGTGAAATGAGGAACAAGAAGAGTGTAGGTGAAATGAGGAACAAGAAGAGTGTAGGTGAAATGAGGAACAAGAAGAGTGTAGGTGAAATGAGGAACAAGAAGAGTGTAGGTGAAATGAGGAACAAGAAGAGTGTAGGTGAAATGAGGAACAAGAAGAGTGTAGGTGAAATGAGGAACAAGAAGAGTGTAGGTGAAATGAGGAACAAGAAGAGTGTAGGTGAAATGAGGAACAAGAAGAGTGTAGGTGAAATGAGGAACAAGAAGAGTGTAGGTGAAATGAGGAACAAGAAGAGTGTAGGTGAAATGAGGAACAAGAAGAGTGTAGGTGAAATGAGGAACAAGAAGAGTGTAGGTGAAATGAGGAACAAGAAGAGTGTAGGTGAAATGAGGAACAAGAAGAGTGTAGGTGAAATGAGGAACAAGAAGAGTGTAGGTGAAATGAGGAACAAGAAGAGTGTAGGTGAAATGAGGAACAAGAAGAGTGTAGGTGAAATGAGGAACAAGAAGAGTGTAGGTGAAATGAGGAACAAGAAGAGTGTAGGTGAAATGAGGAACAAGAAGAGTGTAGGTGAAATGAGGAACAAGAAGAGTGTAGGTGAAATGAGGAACAAGAAGAGTGTAGGTGAAATGAGGAACAAGAAGAGTGTAGGTGAAATGAGGAACAAGAAGAGTGTAGGTGAAATGAGGAACAAGAAGAGTGTAGGTGAAATGAGGAACAAGAAGAGTGTAGGTGAAATGAGGAACAAGAAGAGTGTAGGTGAAATGAGGAACAAGAAGAGTGTAGGTGAAATGAGGAACAAGAAGAGTGTAGGTGAAATGAGGAACAAGAAGAGTGTAGGTGAAATGAGGAACAAGAAGAGTGTAGGTGAAATGAGGAACAAGAAGAGTGTAGGTGAAATGAGGAACAAGAAGAGTGTAGGTGAAATGAGGAACAAGAAGAGTGTAGGTGAAATGAGGAACAAGAAGAGTGTAGGTGAAATGAGGAACAAGAAGAGTGTAGGTGAAATGAGGAACAAGAAGAGTGTAGGTGAAATGAGGAACAAGAAGAGTGTAGGTGAAATGAGGAACAAGAAGAGTGTAGGTGAAATGAGGAACAAGAAGAGTGTAGGTGAAATGAGGAACAAGAAGAGTGTAGGTGAAATGAGGAACAAGAAGAGTGTAGGTGAAATGAGGAACAAGAAGAGTGTAGGTGAAATGAGGAACAAGAAGAGTGTAGGTGAAATGAGGAACAAGAAGAGTGTAGGTGAAATGAGGAACAAGAAGAGTGTAGGTGAAATGAGGAACAAGAAGAGTGTAGGTGAAATGAGGAACAAGAAGAGTGTAGGTGAAATGAGGAACAAGAAGAGTGTAGGTGAAATGAGGAACAAGAAGAGTGTAGGTGAAATGAGGAACAAGAAGAGTGTAGGTGAAATGAGGAACAAGAAGAGTGTAGGTGAAATGAGGAACAAGAAGAGTGTAGGTGAAATGAGGAACAAGAAGAGTGTAGGTGAAATGAGGAACAAGAAGAGTGTAGGTGAAATGAGGAACAAGAAGAGTGTAGGTGAAATGAGGAACAAGAAGAGTGTAGGTGAAATGAGGAACAAGAAGAGTGTAGGTGAAATGAGGAACAAGAAGAGTGTAGGTGAAATGAGGAACAAGAAGAGTGTAGGTGAAATGAGGAACAAGAAGAGTGTAGGTGAAATGAGGAACAAGAAGAGTGTAGGTGAAATGAGGAACAAGAAGAGTGTAGGTGAAATGAGGAACAAGAAGAGTGTAGGTGAAATGAGGAACAAGAAGAGTGTAGGTGAAATGAGGAACAAGAAGAGTGTAGGTGAAATGAGGAACAAGAAGAGTGTAGGTGAAATGAGGAACAAGAAGAGTGTAGGTGAAATGAGGAACAAGAAGAGTGTAGGTGAAATGAGGAACAAGAAGAGTGTAGGTGAAATGAGGAACAAGAAGAGTGTAGGTGAAATGAGGAACAAGAAGAGTGTAGGTGAAATGAGGAACAAGAAGAGTGTAGGTGAAATGAGGAACAAGAAGAGTGTAGGTGAAATGAGGAACAAGAAGAGTGTAGGTGAAATGAGGAACAAGAAGAGTGTAGGTGAAATGAGGAACAAGAAGAGTGTAGGTGAAATGAGGAACAAGAAGAGTGTAGGTGAAATGAGGAACAAGAAGAGTGTAGGTGAAATGAGGAACAAGAAGAGTGTAGGTGAAATGAGGAACAAGAAGAGTGTAGGTGAAATGAGGAACAAGAAGAGTGTAGGTGAAATGAGGAACAAGAAGAGTGTAGGTGAAATGAGGAACAAGAAGAGTGTAGGTGAAATGAGGAACAAGAAGAGTGTAGGTGAAATGAGGAACAAGAAGAGTGTAGGTGAAATGAGGAACAAGAAGAGTGTAGGTGAAATGAGGAACAAGAAGAGTGTAGGTGAAATGAGGAACAAGAAGAGTGTAGGTGAAATGAGGAACAAGAAGAGTGTAGGTGAAATGAGGAACAAGAAGAGTGTAGGTGAAATGAGGAACAAGAAGAGTGTAGGTGAATGAGACAAGAGAGTGTAGGTGAAATGAGGAACAAGAAGAGTGTAGGTGAAATGAGGAACAAGAAGAGTGTAGGTGAAATGAGGAACAAGAAGAGTGTAGGTGAAATGAGGAACAAGAAGAGTGTAGGTGAAATGAGGAACAAGAAGAGTGTAGGTGAAATGAGGAACAAGAAGAGTGTAGGTGAAATGAGGAACAAGAAGAGTGTAGGTGAAATGAGGAACAAGAAGAGTGTAGGTGAAATGAGGAACAAGAAGAGTGTAGGTGAAATGAGGAACAAGAAGAGTGTAGGTGAAATGAGGAACAAGAAGAGTGTAGGTGAAATGAGGAACAAGAAGAGTGTAGGTGAAATGAGGAACAAGAAGAGTGTAGGTGAAATGAGGAACAAGAAGAGTGTAGGTGAAATGAGGAACAAGAAGAGTGTAGGTGAAATGAGGAACAAGAAGAGTGTAGGTGAAATGAGGAACAAGAAGAGTGTAGGTGAAATGAGGAACAAGAAGAGTGTAGGTGAAATGAGGAACAAGAAGAGTGTAGGTGAAATGAGGAACAAGAAGAGTGTAGGTGAAATGAGGAACAAGAAGAGTGTAGGTGAAATGAGGAACAAGAAGAGTGTAGGTGAAATGAGGAACAAGAAGAGTGTAGGTGAAATGAGGAACAAGAAGAGTGTAGGTGAAATGAGGAACAAGAAGAGTGTAGGTGAAATGAGGAACAAGAAGAGTGTAGGTGAAATGAGGAACAAGAAGAGTGTAGGTGAAATGAGGAACAAGAAGAGTGTAGGTGAAATGAGGAACAAGAAGAGTGTAGGTGAAATGAGGAACAAGAAGAGTGTAGGTGAAATGAGGAACAAGAAGAGTGTAGGTGAAATGAGGAACAAGAAGAGTGTAGGTGAAATGAGGAACAAGAAGAGTGTAGGTGAAATGAGGAACAAGAAGAGTGTAGGTGAAATGAGGAACAAGAAGAGTGTAGGTGAAATGAGGAACAAGAAGAGTGTAGGTGAAATGAGGAACAAGAAGAGTGTAGGTGAAATGAGGAACAAGAAGAGTGTAGGTGAAATGAGGAACAAGAAGAGTGTAGGTGAAATGAGGAACAAGAAGAGTGTAGGTGAAATGAGGAA